CATGAGAGAGAGAGAGATCAGTCATGAGCATGGCATGAGAAAACATGTGGAGGTGCTTCTCTCCTTTCATTCTGAATTCTGGGAATTGAATTCAGGTCTTGGCTTTTGTGGCAATTACTTTTCACCTGCTAAGCTGTCTTGCTGGTTCAGAAAGCATGTTATCATTGAAGGTAACTATGTTCACCACTGTGCGACCAATGCAAGCCTCTTAGTGAAAATATATACACTGGTTTATAAAACGTAGGAGATGGTCTGTGATATAGCCCAGTGGGTAAAGCTGATTGCTGCCAAGCATTAGCACCTGAGTTCAATTCCTGGGATCCACAAAATGGAAGGGAAAGAATTGTCTCCTGCAGTTGCTCTCTGACCTCCATACACAATCTGTGGCATGGGTTAGCTTCTGCCTCCATCCCAAATAAATAAATCTAATAAATTAAACAAAGAGTCATACCTTATGTAGTGTTTAATCACTTTAATAGTATTTTTAATACTGTTAATTTTTAATACTGAGCAGTATTTTTCTACATAACTACTCTTAAAATGTTTCTCATAATTTAGCTTATTATCTGTAAAGTCTTTCTGAATAAATTTATCAATATTAAATACTGCTTTCACAAAGTTGTCTGCTTTGTATTAATACTACCATGAAAAATCCAGACCTATTCCCTGACACAGATGTTGACTCATGAGGGTAAAGACTCCGTTATGTCCCAGTAGCTCTCTCTGGCCTCTCTTGTATGCAGCTGGAATCTTCTCTGGTTCTTGTTGACTATGATGGAGGCTTCCTTTTCTTGTAGGATCCTTCTTTTCAATATGCCATTATTTTGATTGATTTTGTCTCTGAGGAGGAGAAAACTTTTAGGTAGTGATTTTTATTTTCTTTTTAGACAGGATACATGAGATGACTTGTTTTTGTTGTCTTAAAGATCATTTGTATCAGAAACATCATTCAGTATTTGAATGTTTGACTGATAGTTTGGCTGGGTATATAACTCTAATTTGAAGTCATTTTCCTTTGTTTTGCAATTGAAGCGTGTGCACAGGAAGGAAGTGCTCGCTGTTGGACTATATGCCGGAGAGCGTTCTTAAATGATTTCATTGTTGGTGACATCTTTTACCATTCTTCCTTTCAATTTTAATTTTTGTATAGATTATATATATGTATATAGAATTCTATTTTCCTTTTTTTTTTTTTTTTTTTTTTTTTTGAGACAGGGTTTCTCGGTGGTTTTGGAGCCTGTCCTGGAACTAGCTCTTGTAGTTCCAGGCTGGTCTCGAACTCACAGAGATCTGCCTGCCTCTTGTATATAGAATTCTAACTCCAGGGGCTGGAGAGATGGCTCAGAGGTTAAGAGCACTGACTGCTCTTCCAGAGGACCTGGGTTCGATTCCCAGCACCCACATGGCAGCTCACAACTGTCTGAAAATGCAGTTCCATGAGATCTGACACCTTCACACCAATGAACATAATAAAGTTAAATAAAAAAAAAGTTTAAAAACAAAAAAAAACAAACAAAAAAAAAGAATTCTAACTCCATTTTCTATTTGTAATTTGTGTTATGCTGAAGCAGTTTTCTTCAAGTTCATCAGATAGTTTTTATTGAATTTTTCATTTCTTATATTTTCTTTTTTTCCACTTCCTGCCTGAACTATTTTTTTTTTATTTAAAAGTTCAACTTTTCCCCTCCATGCAATAATTTTTTGAAGTTTTCTTCTTGGTACATAGTTAATTGCTTAGTTTTTGCTTTTGCTTTCTGTCTTCCATATTTAAGGTTTAGTTGAGTTCCTTTTTCTGGACTTGCCACATAATATGATGTGGTAGATAAAAGTCAATTGAAGTAGCTAAATTTAGATAGATTAAACTGTTGTAGTTGCTGGCTTTGGAATCTGTAAATGCTACACAAGCCCTACTAAACTACACTGATTGCTGACCTTGAACTATTATTTTAATCAGGGAATCTTATTTTTCAGATCTTTGCTAGGTTTACAGAAGGTGCATGCTCACTGAACTGTGTTTGTGTTTGATAAGGGCATCTAAAGTTAATGAGGTGGAGAAGTGAGGTGTTTTCAGTTTGTATCTTAAATTTTTTGTAATTACAAGTTCACTCTATTTTGTGTGGTGAATCATGTGTTCCTTTGCATGGGTGTGGAGGTTATAGAAGTACTTGAGGGAATTGATTCTTGACTTCCACCATGTGGGTCCCAGGGATTAAACACAGGTTGTCAAGCTTGGTGGCTAAAGTCCCCTCCAACTTCTCAAGCTGCCTCCAGGGAGATGAGGAAAGGGAGCCATGCCTTTGGAGAGTGGCATGCTTCAAGAAAGCAAGCAGATTGAGAATTGTGACCATCTGTAATTGTTGCAAGGGAGGAGCAGGGTCTCCAAAGAAGGGTGGATGAGAAAGCAAGAATCAGGGCAAGTAGGGTTAGAATTTCTGTCAGCAATCTAAGAAGTAAAACAGTGAAAGGAAGAGTTAGATTGTTTGAGTTAGAGCCCAGAAAAGCTAGTGAGGATCTAGTTTGTTTCTTAGAGTCCCTTTATGTCCTTCCCCCTAAGACAGGATGTTAACAATAATTTGTGTCGGATGTGCTATAGCTAAGTAAATGGAACAGTCTGCCAAAACACAGTAAGACTTGTAAGTAGTTTTCAGTAATTTATATACATAGTTATTCCATAAACGTGGTAAATAAATACAGAGTTGACTGAAGCTAATTCTTTGAATCTGAATTCTCTCCATCATTACTACTTGTGTAATTCCTGACAAAGGCTATATACTATGGACATAAAAGTTGGTAAGTATAACATTTACTCTCAGGGATGTCTAGACTCTTGACATTGCGACATGATCGACATTTTGAGTCATCCCGGAACTGTAGGACATGCCCGCTTCATTGTAATGATGAAATGAGAGGAATGTGCCAGAACATGCTAGTTTCTCCTTGGAAGAGATTAAATGTCAGCTTGTCATTGAACTAGTTATTTTGCTAAATCTTAAATTTTCCCAGTCGTTTATTTTTTCAAATAAATGATGGGGTGGCTTCTTATAAATGATCTTATCTAAAATTTTTAAAAGATAATTTATGACATTAACTCAAGCTTTGTTGGACTTAGAAATATTAATAGAATTTTAAAACAATTAAGTTATATGTGAAAATGTCATATTGGAATCTGTTACATTATATTCTAATTAAGAAACAAAACCATTTTGGAAGATGGCTCAGGGTGCTGCACACAAGCCTGACCAGAGTTCTGTCCTGAACCCCACTATGGAAGGAGAGCACCAACTCCTGGAAGTTGCCTCTGTTGTCCATGCACAATCCAGGAACATGCATATGTGTTCCCAACTGCATGTGTGTGCGTATGTACACACACATAATAATAAGTTGAAACAAAACAATCTACTTTATAGCTGTTTCCGAGCTTGACTCTTCTGTGCAGACACTGTGTAGTCCCTGTGGAGCCCTGACAACTGGAGTATACTCTACGGAAGACATCTTTACCCCATTGGACTCGGAACTGCAGTCTTTTAGTAGGAAATTAGGAAGAGACCCTACTAGTGAAGGTACACACTTTTCTGAGACTTTTGTGTCAGAACTAATAAGAATCTCAACTTACTGTCTGTTGAGATAGTTGTATATTGTTGAACAGAAAAATGATATTCAAATGGAACACAAACAGTTTCTAGTCTGAACAGGATCTAGGAAGAGAAGTATTGAAATGTGGTGAGTGCAGTGAAGATAGGAAGGACTTCCAGCTCTTGAGAGCAGCTGACCTGGGTTTATAAAGGTGATGGACATACTAAGGAGAAAGGGGGAATAAAGATAGGACTGTTTGTGATTATGATGAATGGTGGGTTCTGGCCCATGTCTGTTATCCTGGGACCTTGGAAGACTGAGGCAGGAGGAATGTATAAATCTATGACTAGTCTAGGCCTAAAGAGTGGTAGTCCATCTCTAGCAAACAGTAAATGTTGACTCCAGAATAGAATTTATCTGGTGAACGAGGCTGGTTCTGTCTAGTGAACTGGGGTGGGTAAGATATAGACTTAACTAATACCAGTTACTGTAATAGCCTTCCGTTTTCCTCTCTGGTTTTTTGTCAGACCCAGAGGACCGTGTCTGAAAGGGTTGGATGAAGCTGTATGCATTGAAGCCTAATGTAGTCTCAGTTATATTTCAGCTTTTATTAATTTTTAACTGTTATTCAGTCTCTGAGCCTGTTTCACTATCATAAAGTGGCTATAAAACCTGCCATTAGGATCACAGTAACAATTGAAATAGCATCTAAAATTTACCAGATAGCTATATTTTGGTTATTTTTAGTGTCTTGCCCCATTGAATTTACACCTCAGTTTTACAGTAGTCAAGTCTTTTCCAGACATTTTCAGTTTACTAACATCTTGCTTTTTCTGAATAGACAAAGCCACCCTCAGCCACATTATTTTAAGAGCTGCTATGGTTTGGCCAGATATGGTGGCACAAACACTTGTAATCCTATCATTCATGGGGTAGATGCAGGAGGATTACAAGTTTGAGGGCAGCTTGAGCATACAGGGAATTCAGGGTTTTGGTTACATAGTGAGACACAAAACAAGGGTTAGTGTTCTACCTCAGTGGGATGGAGGACACAAACAAGGCCTAGTGTTCTAGTCAGCAGGATGGAGGATTTATTAGCATGCTCAAGGCCCAGTACTTTGATGTGGCTTGGATCATGTGTAAATGTTTCTTTGGTTTTCTGCTCCTAAGGCAGTTTTCAAAGATATTATCTAGTCCATTCCAGGTAAAATTGAATAAAGGCCTCTTTCAAGGCAGAGTAATTAGAAAAATTTTATGGAATATTTCCACTATATACAGAAATAGAACGAGATAATGAACCACATGATTATCATGCCGTGAGGCCAGTTGTCCTTTAGCTGCATTTCCGTCACCTCTCTTACCAGTATCTCTCTAGACAGAACACAAGATCACCAAACCTAAGGAGTGTATGCCCAAGAAGAACGGGAGAAGCCAGGCTCCATGGCTGGTGGAAGCGGAAGAGGTCCTTTGTGTGCCTTCCGCCTCTTCTGCTGCCTGTTTCTGCCAAGCCAGTGTTGTTCGCAGTGTTCTCAGGTGTGGATTAGTAGTCCCACTTCCAGACTGGCTTGAACCCTCTTGTCCTCCCTGTTTGCCTTCCCAGTGAGTACATTCTTCGTCGACATTTTCCTAGTATTAAAATGTTGGGAGTTCTGTGTCACCTGAGAATATATTTGTGACATTTGGACTACAGAGAGAAGAGTTATTTGATTTTATGAGAAATTACCAAATTAAGCTTTGTTGCCACCTGTGTCTTAAGACACTATTGTCAAAATTGAAAATGTGGTTGTAAACTCTGACCATTCTGCTGGGTTGCACTTGTGAAGCTTAGATTCTGTGGGGAAGTTTTAAATTAGCTTTTTAAAATTAAAGTCAACTTGATCAAATGAATAAGATTTAAAAAAATTTGATACTCTTGCTTTGATGGATATATTATAGGTAAAGAAGAAAAAGTAAAAAAAAGAAGGGTCTTGAGCTGGGTTTGAGGGCTTTTGCTTTTTCCTCCCCCTTTTTTTCTGGACTGAAATGGAGGCTGTCTTTCAGGCGAATTCCCTAGTGTTTGCTCTGTGTGATCTGGCTCTATATCTGTTTCTGCTAATATGTGGCGTGGATTTCAAGTTGTTTGGGATCGGAATGTGCTCCAACTCTGTTGCAAGTCCGAATTCACAGGCATTTTGTTGCAAAACTGGCTTGCTGCCTTCTGTTTTCTTTTTCTGTGTGTTTAGTGGCTGCATTGTTTGTTGCAGTATATGCATTAGCTGTCTGTGTTCAGTTTCCTGCAGGCTGACAAAGTGGGAGGGGCTTTCTTTGATACATGGCTGAGTTTTCACTGTGAGTTCTTGAGTGCACGGTGCAGCCATCTTAATTACACTGTTGTGCAATGAGACTGCAGCTGTCTCAAAATGGCTGCTGGCCCCTCTCTGAGGCTGCCTAGGCAGCAGACGTTCCAGTGAGGAGACTTATCCCAAGCTGCAGGATCTGAGGTAAGACCCACGAGCTTTGATCTGTGAGCATTGCAATTAGAAAACATTTGAATATAGCCAGCTTTGTATAGGAAAGAAAATTTGCTTGTGAAGAAGTTGGAATGTTCTCTAAGAGCTGTACGCCTGCCTGTATTAGGGAAACAATACATTAGGATGGTGAGGTCAAAGGTTACATTCCTGTGATTTCTCACCATTTTGTTGTCATTGCCAGAATTTTGATCACCACAGTCGTGCTTTTCTAACACACGAGTAACTAAATGTCCCTTGTGTAGTAGACAGATAATTCACTAGTTATTTTTAGAAGTTCAAACAGTATATTGAGTATTTTTTTAAGAAGCCATAAATTAGTCTTGTTTGGAAAAAATAGGATTTTTTGCTTTTTAAAATGAGTTATTGTTTGGTAACTTTGTAAAAAGAATACAATTTTCTCTGTTAATCGTAGAAAATATGTTCTCTTCATTTTTTATGTTTTAGTGTTTTCTCACATGCTGCCTTTTTTATTTTATAATTAATATACATATTTATAGTGACTCACTTTTTCCTTATTTTTTGTTTGAATTGGCATTTGGATTCAGATTTTAAATTTCAAAAATAATTTTACATATAGGCCCCCATACCTTTTTCTTTTTAAAATCTAATACAATCTGATGACTAGAGAGGTGGAATAAATACTGTTTTAGTTAACTAATTGACATTGTTATATATATTTAAAACTGTTAACACTCAAAAGGATTGCAAATTTAAGGAATTTTTTTTTAGCATTATAAAACAAATGTTTGCTGAATACTGTAATATACATTTCCAAGGTTACCTAGCAAGTTAGGACAATATCTCAGTGTGGTCCACTGCTGCTTTTGACTTGCTGAGTAACTGAGCTTGCCTTGGGCCCTCCAGTGCTAGGTTCATAGACATCCATCCCGCCATGTATTCCCCAAAGAGTAGATGGAATTTAGTCACATAATTTGGGGAGAAGAACAGTTATGTTTTAAGCTGTGTTTAAGTTGTAGTAGTTGCTAAGTTATTTTCTGAGTGATATAGTATATACTCCCGTAGCTGTGTCAATAGAATATTTAAATATATTCTTGACTAATATAACAGAGAACAATGACTGAATATTCTGAGTAGAGAAACTTATTTTCTATTTTTGTAAATTTTTTATCCCCCCTTTTACTTTTTTTAAAAATAAGAGTCTCATGTGGTATAAGCTGACCTTTGAACATTTGTTCTATAGATTGGGTTGGCCTTAAATTTGCAATCCTGTTTCAGTCTTTCAGAATTGTAGGCAGGTATCACCATGTCTGGCTCTTTTAAAAGAACAAATTAAAATTTTGCTAAATTAAATTTTTAGGGAAGGCCCTGACACATTAAGGCTATACATGTTTTATTTTATAGTATAGATTTATAAAATTTACTTATCATAGTTGTATTTGATAAATAAGCTATTTATAATACAACTTTGAAATGAGGTCACCTGACCTTTTAGAAGCTGAGTGTCCAGATCTGGTTCACATGTTTGTAGAGCTCAGCCTCTAAAGCTTTGGGATTCTGTTTGAATTTATCCTTGAATGCATCTACTTTTTTTCTTTTTCAGTTTTCTTTTTTTTTTTAATTTATTTATTTTACATATATAGTGTTCTGGGCACCAGATCTCATTATAGGTGGGTGTGAGCCATCATGTGTTTGCTGGGAATTGAACTCAGGACCTCTGGAACAGCAGTCAGTTCTCTTAACCTCTGAGCCATCTCTCCAGCCCCTTTTTCAGTTTTCTTAAAGGTTTATATTAGAACATTAGATCTGATGCTTAATAGTTGAAAATTTCTGCCCTGTTACAAACTTAAATTTATACCTCCTCTTGGTTATATACATTTTTAAATAAAATAGGTAGGTTTTTTTTGTGTAATTAATCTCAAGTAAAATGATGACTCATCATAATTTGAATGATAATGTATATAAATCATCCAGTCATGTTCCTTGCCCCAAAAACAGAGACAGGAAGAGTTGGTGGGTGTGGGAGTCTGCTGTCTTTCTGAAAGGTCATGCTCAGCAGCAGGGCGGGAGAGTGACTTCTGCGGCACTCCCTTCTCCCTTTTCATGTTGAGCACTTCAGTGTCTTGGTGGAAGGATGGAGAGAGAGGAGATAATAGTATTGAAATATGTAGGTTTGAAAAAATTACATAAGATAGCCCCTTGGTATTTAGTGTGGAGGGAAACTGACTAGGTTGAAATTATTGAGCAGTTTATGTTGGCATTCACGTTTTTTGCCTTCTGTTGCTGAGTATAGAATTTCCTCTCATACTTATCAGTTACGCATGGGGAAATTCTAAACTCCTGTTACTTAGGCTATTAGTGCTAACTTTTTCATTGCCGTTTTCCAGTTTTAAAATTTATAAACTTAAACTAGGCCTTGGATTATTTTGGGTTGGTGGCAGTTTTCAAATTTTTTGTGAATTAGAGGTTAGACATTATGCTGGATATATATGGGCATGATATAAATTCTGGGAACTGAATTCTATTTTTGGTTTTTCAAGACAGGATTTCTCTGTGTAGCCCTGGCTCTCTGTGTGTAGCCCTGACTGTTCTGGAACTGTTCTCCCCCTGTAGACCAGGCTGGCCTCAAGCTCACAGAGATCCACCTGCCTCTGCCTCCCAAGCACTGGAATTAAAGGTGTGTACCACCACCACCTGGCTGGGAACTGAATTCTTGAGACCATTTGTTGTCCGTTCTCTTTCCCCCTCTCTATTGTTTATCCCCTTCCATAACCTATTTAAAAACAGTTAAGTCTCCTAAGGAAATGTTGGGATTGCGGAAAGTGCATTGACTTAAGATTCCACACTTAAACATGAATCCTTCTTTGGCTTCTGTTTTCTGATACTGATTCATTCTGTTTCTTCAGTTTGTTACTTTTCAGATGTCACATACTATACTCATCATGTGTGACTAGATCAGAGTATTTTGGAAAAGGATGGGGAATTTCTCATATAATTCGTGCTGCAATACATTCCTAAGTAACGCCTGACTCGAGTGTTGTTGTCACGGAATTGGAAGTGTAGGGCAAACGCTGCAGTTGTAGTCTGGCTGAGTCTTGCAGATATATCGTAAGAAAAACAGCTTCTCCAAGAATTGACTCAAATTCATGGCCAAGTGCTTCCTGTGCTTCTGGAACAGAGGAGGAGCGGGGAGGGCCTTAGTTCTCGTTCAGTGCTCCAGACTGACAGCTGCTAGACTGATCTTTACCCTTTCACTACTGCCAGTTAGTTTTTTAGTTAACATCTAACATAAACTTTATTAAAAACCCATATCTTGCCTCTTAGATCTTAGCTGGGGCAATGGTATTCCTGTATTTCTTTTTGGTAATGTCGTCTGAGTAGGTAAGTCTCAAACGGTTCATCTTCTTTACTGTTAGGCTCCTCGCCAGTTCACTTACAATCCCCTTTGTACTCAATTAGTGGGAGTGTTGATAGCCTCAATATCTAAAATACAGTTTCTAAACCAGAAGAAAATAAACATAAATAAAATCTAGTCTAGTGTATTTAACCTAGGGAGACCTAACATATGTGAAGTAAGTGTATTCTTTACGAGATGTGGTACCTTTGTTAGCATTTTTTTCTAATTAAATTTTTTTGAGGTTTATTTTATGTATATGAGTGTTTTGCCTGCATGTATGTCTGTCTGTACATCACATATGTGTGCAGTGCCCACAAATGCCAGGAAAAAACATTGTTTCCCCGGACCTGGAGTTAAAGATGGTTGTTAGCTAGTGTGTGTGCCAGGAATTGAACCTGGGTCCTCTGGAAGAGCAGTCAGTACTTTTAACTGCTGAGTCATCTCTTCAATCTCTGTTCTATTTTCCCCCCAATGTTAGAGTACTGTGGGGCCTAATAGAGAGACTTATTGACGTCAGCCTAGGATTCAAAGTGAGAAGATTGAAATAAGTGCTCAACTGGAAATGTCTAAAGGACCCTGAGGTTTACTTCGTTAATAGCGTCATTGTTAGAAACACCATTGGTTTCAGCCAATCCTGAGGGGGGTATATAATAAAAAAATTAAATTGCTGATGTAAGTAAAGTAACATTTTGTCAAAGGTTTCTTACAAAATTGAACACAATTTTAACACCTAA